TGCTCCTCTGTCTTCTGTTTTCTGCACAATTACCTCTTAAACCTAGAACCTCTAGCTCTGTAAAGCTGGGCTGGAGAGAGCCTCTGTGGCACAAGTCTAATTATCAGCACAAACACACACAGATTAGTCAAAGTTTTCAACGTAGGAATGTAGAGAAATTCAGTGGTGCATTTACTCAAGTACTATACTTAAGTACATGCTTGAGGTATTTATACTTTGCTTGAGCATTTTCTTTTTATGCTACTTTATACTCTACTACAATTATTTGATATTTAGTTACTTTACTTATAAAAATATCACAGAACAAAATACACAAGTTGGGCTGAAAGGATTATTCAATTCATTAAGAAGTCGACTGAAAGGAAATTAACTGGCAACAATTATGATAATGGTTTAATAATTTTCATTGCAAAGGCATTTCATGGTTCCAGCTTTATACGTGTGAGGATTTGCTTACTGTTTGATTACTTTAATAATTGGAATTTATTTTGTAATGATGTTGGGATTTGGACTGTTGGTTGAAAAGACAAGTTTTGTGAAGGCATCCCTGCAATTAATTAATAAAGTAATCAATGAAATCAATGAAAACATTACTTTCCACAGACTAAAATTGTCCCACTGAAAACAGAATAGCATGCAACAAAAAAGCTGTGACACCATTAAGCATTTATAAATCTGAAAACAGATGCAGCATGAAACACATTTACTGAATATTTATGTTTTTATTCTAAATAAACACTGTATGGTTGGGGAGTAAGTCATCTGGCTCTGACTGTGAGACAAATCAGTTCAGCATCTTAAAGAAGTGCATCATTATGATATCAGAGTTTGACAGGAGAACAGACTGCATGCCACACGCACACACACACACACACACACACACACACACACTGAACATGAGTCAGAGAGACATGGAGGGAAAAGGGGCTTGCAGATAAAGGCTGACATGTCCCCATGTCTATAAATAGCCCAGAGAGGCTGACAGTCAGGAACAAAGCACTTTACACCAGCCATCCTGACAAGCAAAGGAGCACAGGGACAACAAGGCTCCGTGTGTCTGTCTGACAAAGTTTTACTATGTCCGCTGCCTTTCCTCAGCTCCTAAATGACTAGACCCTCTCTCCAGAGACTCTTCCAAAACATTTAATTAGCACCTGCACTTTATCACTTTCATTATTTTCAGTCCTACTCCGCTCATTATTTTCATTTCTTCTCCTCTGCCCTCCACTATCCACTGCTGACTCCGTCTCTGTCTTGATTTGGCACAAGAGTACAGAAAGCATAGAAGTGCACTTTTATCACTTCAGGGTTTGGTGTCAGTGTCTCTCCTCCTTCCATCTTTTAACTCCCTTTTTCTTCTCAGTTCCGTACACATTATGATTCAATCTAGCTTTTTGTCTCCTGTCAGTGCATTAAGCCTGTGTTCTGCTCAGCTGTGCCTGTAGAAGAAACCGTGAAAAAGTGTTCTGATATTTGACCAGTCTAAGACACTGCAGCTGAGTTTGTTTTGGATTAGTAAAGCAGGACAAAATTTTGATCACCTCCTCAATTTTAAGTTGCTCACTCCCTAAAGCACAGCAGGGCTTAAATGGAACTAAATACTACAGCTTGATTCTGATAAAGCTTCTTACACTCAGTTACCACAGTCAACTTCCGATTTGGATTTCTGTATTGCTGCACATTTTTGTGCAGCTAAATCTCTCTTAGCATCATCTGATGTTGAAATCTGGTCCCATTCTCACCTCAAGAACCCTTCCACTGATGTATCTGCTGCAGGTCTCACATTTCACCCCATACTGGGCGTGGTAATCTGCCTCACAGTATGGCACTCCATCTCTGCAACATAGAAAACATAATGGAAGCTGCTGTAGAGCATAAAATTCACAGTTTAGCCAGTGAAAAAATGTGTGTGTGTTTTTTTTTACATAAGAAACAAACACTGTATTTCTTTATTTTATCTGTTTTCTGGGGGACACATGCTTTAAAATGTGTTTTTCTCTTTATTTTTCCTTTACACACTCACTTGCTGATGTATTCTCCGGTGAGGACCATGTTGCAGGTCCGACATCTGAAGCAGCTGACGTGCCACTGTTTCTCCAATGCCAGGAGAGACTGACCCTGCTTGATCTCAGCTCCGCATCCAGCACAATCTGGAGAAACATGAAAAAGAGGGAGCAAGACCAAAAATGAACAGGTAAAAGAGAGAGGAGAAGGGAAGCGAGAGAAAAATAGAAACACAGGTGAGGTAGAGGCAATGACAGCAAGAGACAATGTGAGTCAAGGTGTGTTTGTACATCTTTAAACACCTGTGCAAACACACTTAATGTAGTTTTTTCCCCACTTTGGCACAACCACCTCCTTATAATCAATAGTTGTAATAATATAGTATAATACTAATGAACTAATATCATTAAACTGTGAGTTCTCTCAGTTTTAAACACTGTTACACACAACTGAATGCAGACAGGAAGCAACACACACACACGTGCGTTCTCATAAGACATGTACAGTATGGCTCTCTCACTGTCTCTTTCCCACACGCACACAAGCACATACACACACACTGTATACTAGCATACTCTACACGTTCCATTTTCTCTCAAAAAGAAGTCCCAGTAGGCGTTATTGACCAACAGGTCAAGAAAGAAGCAGGACGCCACTGATGCATGGCTGAAAAAAGGTCAACATTCCATTTGTTTCCATTTGAATCAGCTTAACCTATTCTGACCTCATCTTCTGCCCCTGACAGAAGCCTGCCGTCGCATGGGACCACTCCTCTGTGCCCTGTCAGCCAAGACAAACTGCGCTTTGCAGTATTAAAAAAAAACAAAAAAACAAAACTGCTGTGAACTGGGTCGGCTTGCTGCAGTCCATTTGGCGGTGATAGTGTTGAGTCTATAGGGCCAGGATTTCAGACGGTTACTGTGCACAGCTGTTGTTTATTTACTGAGTCATGATACTGTACAGTACCAATTTTAACCACAAAATCAAATCAGATTATCAACAATTATGTAACAGTGCTTATCACAAGAAATGATTAGATAAGGTTACACAAAAATCCACACTGAATGACAGGGAAAAGAAGGCTGTTTTTTTGCATTTCTGGAAAATATGAGTATCTTAACAAGAGATAAAAAGAATGATTCCATGCTTATATTTCTCCATTCATTCAGTATGAAGCTACAGCCAAGAGCAGTTAGCTTAGCTTAGCTTAGCATAAAACTGGAAACAAAGTGCAACAGCTGCCTGACTCTTTCTGAAATTAGCTTAGCTTAGCATAATACTGGAAACAAAGTGCAACCAGTGACTCTTTCTGAAGGTAATAAAAAAATCTGTTTCTTGAAACAGTCTGGCACACAGCCTGCTGTAAAACCACAAACTGGTTTTTACATGGATAAAGCAAACAAGATACTGGATGTTAACTGATGAGCTTGAGGTGCTGGTAGGAAGACTGTTGTTGCATTTGAACAGAACCAGGCTTGTTTGCTGTTTTCATCTGATTCAAGTCTTATTCCTTACAGATGTGGTATCAATCTATCTCTTGTAAAGAAAATGAATAAGAGAGATTCACACAATCTCAAACTATTGCTTTAAAAATAGGGGTGTCACAATTACATTGTCAGTATCTGTCAACAGCAGGCCACAGGGCGCCTCCTTATGAGATACAGTATAAAGTTTGTCCCTACAGGGCACTGGTTCCTTTAATTTATAATGTACTGTGACTGTGCACTTAGCCCTTAGGCCACTGTGATGTCTCCAAAATAAAACTCATGATGTGGAATGAAAAGTATTTCAGGCCCTAACAGTCAGTTGAACATTATTAAGTCTAGCTATCATACACTACATTCAGCAAGTTATTTATACAGTACATAATGACAAATTCCATCTTTTTTGTCTTTTGTGTGGGGTTTCATTTCTGAGATGAGTCTCATCCGAAAGAAGATGCCACAAACAAGGACTATGACATGAAACCTAACTTTATTAAGATGTATAAATAAGCAAACTTCACCTAACACTACTTTCTAGCAGATTATTTAAATGTCTGCTCCTAGCCTTTTCCCTCAAACAATCATTGTTATACAAAAGAAATTCTACCACTTCTGCACATCCATTGTATATTTGCATTCTTAAGCACCCTGCTTGTTTCACCAAATTACAAGGGAACAGGCTGTAACAGCCAGTGCATTACATTTAGTGTCTGCACTTTGTGCACTGTCTCACAGACTTCCTCCTCATAAGACAGAGTGATGAACATGTACCTGGGGAACCATTTGGATTTTATTCTCCTGAATGAAGTGATCTGGGGAGGACAGTTATTCACTGCCTCTCCACCATCTGTTATTACTGCACAGCCAGTGAGCAGCGGCCTGCTGTCGGTACGCTGCGCTTAACAAATCACTCACTATCAATCACTATTGCTCTGTTGTGGGATCAAACTCTATCTTTTTTGCTTTATGCTGAGAAGGCTGTGCCATCTGAAAACACACGATCATTATTTAATTATGTACACAGCTACAGTATATAGCAGCGATGTAATGATACCAAAATTTTACAATACAATTTTGCAACAATAAAAAGTCAGCAATACAACTGAAGATTGATGGCAGGATATTAAAAAATGAATACAATTTTTTTTATACCTTTTACTGCATAATACATCAGTATGATTTTCCTTTTACCTTAAAGTGCTTTTGCTTTGCTTCTTTATTAAAATAACAGTATCCAGCCATGGCCTAAGCATGTGCAAAAACTTGGCACAAATTGTCACTGGCACTGAATGACTGAACTGTTTGTATGTTTGAAAAACAAACAAACAAGCAAAGCAGCAGTCAGCAGTACTTTTATAAAATAAAATAAAATAAAATAAAATAATTTGCCCATCTCCATTAAATTGTTGCGCACAGTTGTGTCACGATGGTTCCTTCAAGACATATCCAGGACTGTCTTAGTCCTAAACAGGTATTGCCTTCATCCAGCAGTATTTGCAAACTGTTTGTCAGTTTCCTTTCTGCCCTTGTTAGTACTTGAAGCAGGAAAACTGAAATGCTGCCACACAACAGCTGTAAAAGTTGAAGATGGAGCATGCATACTAGTGATATAACCATATGCAACATCCTGGTAGATAATGTCACAGTCCCATGATGGTATTGAGAACATTTTCTATCACAACATCGCAAAATTACAAATATCCTTACATCCCTGGTATATAGTATCTGTGTGAAAGGTGTAACTGATGATGGCGTGTGTCAACCTTTGCTGAAGCGAATCCATCACATCCTTTATTCTCTTGATGTTAGTGTTGACACTAATGAATGAATGATATGTCTGCTCGTGTTGCATAATTCTCAGCTGGCAGACCAGCACCACAGGTCAGACCATTGATTTGACACACACTTGATTAGCTAAATGAAGTAAATGAGCCTCATTGACTCAGTGCACTCTAGCGACCGGTGGCACTAAACAGAACGGGCGGAGCAAGGCCAGTGCTGGACTTACGGCTGGGCCCGTGGATCTTGATGGGTTCGTTTGACTTGACGAGTGTGTGAGAGCACTGCTGGCACACACAGTCCTTTCCACTGAAAGTCACTCTGTCTCCAATTGGGAATGGTTTACTGAGGAGGTAAAAATCAGAGAGAGAGAGAGAGAGTATTAAAAGACAATAGGAGATGAAATTCCTGCAGTGATTTTGTGAGTTTACATTACATCCAAGTGTACACATAACAAATGGGTGCTGGCAGGAACATGCCTAGGTGACAGAAGACAGGACACAGTCCTGCTGACACAGTGTGACATCCTCTATGAACCTGAAAATACATTTTCAAAAAGCTGAGGTGACGGGTTAATGAGACATTGATTGTTGCAGCAGCACCGGGCTGCTCTGTGATTAAAGTGCCGATAATGTGGCGCTGCCACAGGTTTCAGAAAGAAAAACTGGCTCTCTCAGTGAGAATGAAAACTTATTAAGGAGACTGTAGAGCGCATACTGATCTCAGTTGCCTCTTTCTCTTTCAGTCTGTCCGCCCAGTTCGCTCCCCCTACACAGCTGGTGCCACCAGGTCACTGTTTTATTTTTTACTTTTTTAAAGCTAGGCTACGTTAAATAAGAGTCCACACATATGCATGCAAGCAGAGAACATGCGAGCAAACCATACTGTAACACGATACACTGGTTTGTCTCTCTTCCCTCTCTTTTTCAAGCAGACCGATTGATTTCTTTATGACTGGAGAGAATGTGAGGATGAATGGGGAGCTAAAAGGCTTAGGCAAAGCTGTTTAAAAGACATAGACAGCAGTAATCCTTTTACTTCCCCGCCGAGCCTCGGAGTCGGAGCCAAGACCCGGAGGGAGGCTCGAGCTCACAGTCAGCGCACATGAGTGCAGTACACACTTAGAGATGCACAGAGGTGAGCAGGGATAAAAGGCTTGTGTTATATATAGTATACTATACATGCAGCTGTTGAGGCTAGGAGCATCTTACAACTGTTTTTGGCACATACAGCATTCCAAGTTTGCTCCTTTGTGTTTTTATATTATTCTAGAAAGCACAATGTCCACACATAAAACAAAAAAAGAATAAAAAGGTAAGCAGAACAGAAGCACCAGTATAAGCATTTTAGCTTACAACTTATTCAACAAAGGCCTTGGTAAATACTGAAATGGGCACGAGCCTGTTGGCAGTCTCCAAACTGTGTGTCTGGTCATCACTATCCCAGGGTGTAGTCCAATTTAATTCCACTTCAGCTTAATGCTGTGATGGTCAAGAGTGGGTTAGTCTGTGTTTGACCTTGTCTTTACCTGTCTGTTGCTCTCACTCCCACAAGACACTGCTGCCTTGTCAGCCTTTCTCTACACTTGAAAAATTTACACTGTTTACATATTTAATACATGTTTTGTTTTTTTCCTTTTTCATTTTTAACTACCCTGAGATGTAAGGCTATTTCTGGCTTTAGCCGTATGCCCTCTGGCTTTGATCACCACAGTTACTTTTTATAAAACATCCACCCGGGAAAGTGATGACAAGGAGAGATGACAATTAATGATAAAGGAAGATGATGATTAAGAGCAGAGAGATGATGATGGGAATAATGAGGATGATGAAGAGGAGTGAGAGGAAGTGGGGTGAGTGCGGAGAAGAAAGACAGGAGAGGAGAATGAGAAAAAATGTACATGAAAGGACTGAGAGCAATGTGACAGAGGGCAGATGGAGCAGGAAAGAAGAGATTCACCCTTTGGCTCCTCACTGTCACTTCTAGTTGACTCGACATAAACTGACACAACAGGGGCACACACACATAGACTGACATCACTGTCACTGCCAGGACTGCTCCACTGACTGTCTCCAGCCAGTTGGTGTCAGTTCAGCTTTTCTGTCCACGGCTGCTGGGCATGACCGCATGTTTATCAGCCAATGTCAAGCAGATACACAACAACAGGCAAACACTACTATCCTGGAGGGTGGTAAGGAAAGATCGCTCTTATGTATAACTTAGAGAAAGAGGAGGGAGGGAGAGCACAAGAGACGGGTGTTCCTACATACTGTACCATCCTTACAGTATATATGGAAAAGCAGCTCTTTTAGAATGAATCACGGAGAAGAAAGCGAGTGACAAGGAGAGTAAAATGGCAAAACTGAGCCGACAGGAATGCTGACTCTTAGTTCAATCCAGAGGAGCTTAACATGAACCCTGATGGGAGGTCAGAGGAGAGATGGCCTACTTTTACTAAATCTAAAAGCATGAAACACCAGGGCAGCTAGCTTTTTTGGAGTTGCGTCTTGACTAAGCAAGAACGACAGCTTTCCAGTCATCCATCTGTTGACACTCAGCAGCTGAGATAAGACTGAACTGTAAGATGACTGGCATTACTAGACAAAGCATATGGAAAATATTGACCTTTGCATTTCTTATGTGCAAAGATGCAACTTGTGAACCGTCATGTGAGGGAGGACTGCATGGTCATGAGGCAGAAAACGGTGACTCATGGCAAAGAAAAACAAAATAGGCATACAGAGCTTATTCAGTGGCTCCACAATGCACCTCCTGTTCTCAGCCATCTTCTCTGTCACGTCATGCTCTGACATGCTACTTCTGATTAATTTTTGTTTTGGCTAATCCCACATATTAAATCTGCTCTAATCAGTATTTTGTATGTTAACAATAGATTAAATGACTCTATATAATATGAAATGAGCCACTTGTTGTGACATGCCTACAGGTCTCACACTATGACGTCTCTGTACATTATCAGTGCTCTCTCTCCATTCATTGCTCTCTAATTTTTACTACTGTACATGTTGTGCATTAAATACACTGAAACTCAGCTTTGTCTCTGAGTCTGATTTTGTGTTAAGTAAATCATATAAAAAATGTTTTACTAGTTTTGCATTGTCCAAGAAAAATATACCCATTAGTTCATAATGTTATAACCAGGAAATGTGTTTACAGCTCATCCTACAGTATAATGTGATGTTTACAAATTTTATATTCAAAGGAACAACAGTGCTGCTCACTTGCTGAATGTATACTAAAAGTTCCCAGAATTCTGAAAAGTACTTCATGCAGCACTGGTATTTATCCAAACTAAATGAATCATTGTGAATAGAATCAAATCAACATTCATGGAATCAAAATCAAATTGAATGGAGAGATCGGTACCTAGTCCTACTCTAATGCTAATACTGGCATCCTGGCCAACTATTGTGCAAACGTAACCCCACATCTGGGGAGAATATTTGTATGTTGAGTGTGTGTTGTATAATGGTGCCTGTGTACCTGCATACACTGCAGACAAAGCACTTGGGGTGGTATGTGCGTCCCAGAGCGGAGACCACCTCTCCTGTGATGAAGCTGTCACAGCGGTCGCAGCGTGTACCATACAGACGCTGATAGTCTGCCGTACAGATGTATTCGCCCTTCTTCTGGAAGAAGCCAGATCGTGCCAGATCACAGCTGCACACTGTAGGTGAGAGAAAATGAGAGAGTGGAGCATTCAGAACACTAAAGCGTAGGCTATGGAATAACATGTTGATGTTAGAAATACTATTTTTAGCTTCCCGTTCTGACAACACACACTGGGGTTTCCATTTTCTGTCATGTGCTCATAATCAAATAAAAAACAAAATGTTCAGCAGAAAAATAAATTAAATATTTTTAGTCCTGTTTGTCTCTTTATCCATGTCTTGTTCCATTAGACTTGTGTCTTTTGTTCTGTTTGAGCATCCTCCTTTTAACCTGTTTATGTGTGTGTGCTTGTTTGTGGTGTGTATATGTTTGTCTTCACACATGGCTGCTGGGAAGTTATTCAGCTCCAGACAGTAGTGAGTCAATTTGCTATGATGCGAATATAATGATATAATCAGTGGAAAAGTCATTTTGTGCTAAACAGTGTGAAGAAAGATGCAAAACAGCAGACTGCATTTTCCCAGCATCTTCAGTGCATTGGCTGCAAACTCATTACATACCAATGGGGAAGACACGGAAATCGTTTCCTATGTGTGTGCAATCTGAGTGCTCACTGTACAGTATGTGTGTGTCTCTATCCTATGCAGACAGTGTGTGCTACAGCCCTTTGCCATGTAACTGAGAGAAGTTGCATGAAACAATATAGCAAAGAGGTGTTTTCACATATCAGTGTGGTTGGTGGTATCTAGTCTCTCCTACTCTCTGGTTTACTAACAGGAAGAGCTGGCAATTTTGTAACCTCTAGCTAAAAAAAAAAAGCTGTGACCTGACACCCTGACACACATGGCACTGTAGGACATGTGCTGTGTAAAACAAATCTAGATTTTCACATATATACATGCATAAACAGTCAAAAGTGTTTAAATCAACTGATAATTTCTAGAAACCAGCAAAGCACAAACCTTTACCAAAGCCAAGTATGGCACTCTATATGGGTATTCTAGCCCTGACCAAATGATTACTCCTCTGCTGTCCCACTAGCACTATAATTAAACAGGTACAACCATCATGAAACAGCTAAGCTGAAAACGACACATGCACCAACTGAACAGCTCAGGAGAATATGAGATTGGGGGTTCATATAAATTAGGGAAATGCTAAGTCTGTATGCGTTTTAAGTTTCTTCGACCGCTTTAATAAAATTCTTTCCTGCAATGTGTAATTGATCAGACTATAGTGGATGAAAAAAGTCACATACAGCAACAATTTTCCTGGAAAACATATAGTGTTTCTACACTAAATCCAAGCCACTGACCATTACCACAGCATGAAAAAATGGAAACACAATCCACAGGAAAATACTGCAACTCATGAGGCTAATCAGCTGACAATGCTGAAAAGAGACCGCAACACACTCCCAGTAAATGAAATGAGTAAATAAAGTAGTGAATATATTACATTTAACAAAGCATTTGCTGCTTAGTGGAATGAAACCAACAACTTTCTGCTTAAAAAAAAGTCCTTCATACTAGTCATGTTATAGAGACTGGAACTGCTGCTCTGGGCTATATCTGGCTTCTTATAGCCACCAGATTTCAGTCCATGCTGGCAGACTGAGAGTTCACACACACACACACACACACACACACACACACATAAATCTTTCAAAGGGACTCATTTAATCTCAAGCTGTTTATGAGTGGAGCGTATTGACTTAATGGTGTAATAAAAGATCAATGGGCCCTCACTTAAAAACAAAACAATCTCAGCTCCCAGAGGAGGATGGAAAAACATAAATCCATCCCCGATGAGATGGCACCACGCATATGCACAGATAGGATGATGAAGTGGGACAGTGTGCATAGTGAGATATGATGATGTATCTTTATCACAGCGACAGGTCATTGGCATCAAGGTGAGACGGCTGCAGGACAAGGGAGGAATGTGAAGAAGCATGGGAAAGGGATGTATGAGAAGGACCAGAGCTTCAAGATTTAAAATAGCCTGTTTATAAAAATGTGTGTGTGTGAGAGTGTGTGTGAGACAACCGCTGAACAATGACACAGAGCTTCAAACGATGCCTCTGCTGCAGTTCGAATCAGACTAAGTAGAGCTCCTACCAGAAACCAAAATCACAGGCTATCTGATGCCTTCCTGGAAAATGGGAATGTGGGACAAAATATTTTCACATCTATTAAGTTCTTTGTCTTGGAAAAAATGACTTTATCTTGAAATGGTCCATAGCATTCATTTAATAAAAACAATGTTTTTAACCTTTGAAAACTATTTGTGGTAAAAATCACAGCTATATTTTTATTTGGTTCTATTTTTCTTCTTCCTGTTTCTTCGCTGTGCCTCAGAATGACTTGCTTGTGCACAGATTGATTTTTCAAACACTGGAATCTGCTCAATTAGAGTAATGCACTCCATTAGCATACGGACGCCTGACCAAATCACAGCCAGAAGACTGGTGTTGCCCAGACTGGATTGGATGGGCAGGCTGGATGGTTCATCTGTTCTGGCTAATCATTGTTTTCTTCTGACTGGACGATTGGCTGGATGCGTTGCAAAGGACGTCCCCCTGCCTCAGTTGCCATAGGAGACGTAAACCTTCCACGGTTGCCCTAGAGACAGCCGGGTCCCAGTGTGAATGATGTGATGGTGGTGATGGTGCTGGCAGCGGCACATTTGGTGGTGTTGTGATTGAGCTGGTTGCTGTAAATGCCAAATGTTGCATGTAATGATAACTTCGCATTTGATTGAACCCGATTGCGATGCCAAAGTCTGAAACGCTACAGCCACGTTTTCAGTTACAGCTAACAAAACTTATCATTATCTGATTCATATTGCCATTGTTTGGTCCTCACTTTACCAGAAATAAGGTGGCTGAAGCCCTAGGAAAAAAAATCTAAAGGCTGACACATTCACTGTACACATGTGAAGTGTAGTGAGCAATGGATGGAACACAAAATAGTAAGTTTTTGTACTTTTTAGCAAATTAAAATACAGCCCAAATTTACTGCTGTGTTTGCAGATATTACTAATATGACCAGATATCCCAGTTTCATATAGAGAAACATTATATATATTCCTGTATTGAAACAGAAGCAGGTTCCAGTGCTGTTGTCATGTTTGGGGTAAATATTGACCCTATAACTAGTCATAGGCTTTACTTCAGAAAAACATCTCAAAGTTCAAAGTGTGAACACAGCTTTTCAGACTATAACATGCACACCATATGTATAGTATGCCTATATAAATTTCATGTGACTGTCCATATAAAAACAACTATTTCCAGATTTGGTGATTTATAAAAAATGGGTTGAAAGAAATTGTACAAAAAATGTGCACATTAGCTCATGAAAATGTTGGAGATATATGGTTTCCACATGACAGTGTTTGCTTTTTACTGGTATCATTACAAATGCACCTGCAACTGAGGAATTGAACTATTTGTACAAATACATTACACTTATTTTTTATGTATTTTCAAAAGAATATTAGCAGGTTGTCTTGGATGACACTTTGTCTCATCATACACAAGTATATTGACAATAAAGTTGAATTATATTAAAGTGAATCATGTCATAAAATAAAAAAAACATACCTAAATTCAAAATCATAAAAAAGCCTACATACAGTGTCTGCACCTGTTAGAAAGCACATTGATGGTCTTTGAAAAAGTCATCTTGAAATTCCCTAAAAGCACCCTCTGATTTTTACAGCCTACTGCATTTGCAACCATGCATTCAAAGTTCTCTCATTTTAGCCATAACCATCAAACAAAAGTTTTAAATGTATCCTTCCAGTTGTTGTAGTTGCCAGCACAGTGGGTGGAGTTGGGTCTGAGCTTGGTGTCTGCTGCTGCAGGGATGAAACTTCGCTTCACTCAGGGAAGAAGGGCTTTGGTTACAACCGCACAACCATCACCACATGGTGTGGACACCCACCCATAAAAACAACAACCAGACTGGTCTGTCTCACTGTCCTATAAATGGCCACTGGGGATTTATACTGCAGCTACTGTGGGGCGAGTTCTTTTCCCTAACACTACTCATGGGAAAGCATACAATCACAGCTGAAAACGATATTTATGTAGAATTCACAAGTTTAAAAAAATGTTTGTATAGGTAAAGGTATATTGTTTTGTGAAGACATATTCACTTTTCCATCAACTACCCTCCTAAACCATATTGCAAGACTAATGTCAAAGACCTCATTTCATCTCTTTGCTCATTTTTTAATCTCTCCCTGAATGGTGCTTTAATGAAAGAAAGAAGAAGATGCTGCTTCTCTCCTTCATACTGCTTTTTGTTGGCAACACAGGAAGTTAGCATCTACGATCATAAGTCTAGTGATTAGAGATTAGCACAGAGGCTAGTGTCTGCAGCTGTGGTCATTAGAACTATACTGATTAGGCACCCACAGGGGGTCTGCATGATTGGGTATTTATCTCCAGCCAACAGATGCAATTAAAATTCCCTTCTCAAAGTCGGCCCAGGCCAGAACCCCAAAGTAGTCCTGCCACCCCTGCTGCCCCCCATTCTCTGTCTTTCTGTTTCAAGACTGGTTCCAACCCTTTGTAGCTATGAGCACAAGGTCTCCACTTTATCTCAATTTGCACTCTCTTTTCTCACTACTACAGACTGCACCCCCATGCAACCTTCCTTTTTTTCACAGTCTCCCTTTTCCTCTCAGTCTCTCTCACTGTGACTCTTCCCTCACCTCATTATGCTACTGTTAGGTTTTCATAATGTACTATTAAGTAAAAGGCATGCTTTGTACAGTACAGTATATCAGAGTAGCACCACTACACATTCTAATTGTTTTAGTGCTTCTGCCAACATTGTGCTGATTTCCAAGGGTTTTTTTATTTTATTTTATTTTTTCAAGATAATGGAGGCAGCTACTGTATACACAGTAAAAAAAAAGGGGCATGCGCTGTATGTAGCAGGCCAATGACAAGTTTCAGCAGGGGGGGTATTCACCTATTCATCCCCACATCTGTGCAAGCAATGTGGGGCCCAGGCTCCTCTGCCCTCCCCTTGTCCCCCG